ATCCCGTAATACTACATTATTCGCTTATAATAATATGACATTTATATTGTGCAAATCCATGTTACAATCACTCTTTTCTGCGCTTTACTTTTACATAATAGTATTCATGAAACACATGCATACACACATGTGACATAATTAAATACGGCACAAGCGGAACTTTTCCAGAAGAACTTACGGTTTCAATTTACCACTTTAACCGCAGCAGTATTTACTATCAAAATGAGACTAGATCTACATGTCATGTAGCCTAGATATCTACCAGTTATATAAAGTGCGAGATGGAATATTCGTGCTTGCCGCTACTGTATCGCCACAATGCCGTGCTTACCGCTAAGTGAATCACATAGTTACTCTTTTTTAGCCTATGTGTTATTTAGAAAAAATTATATTGTCATAGATTATGACGTATTTTTCTTGCTATTTTTTCACCTTACAAAAGTGTAATATTACATTGATTCAAGACCCCCCACCCCTTTTTTAAAAAACATTTTTCTTTTACAGGAGTCAAAGACACCCCCCCCCCTTCTTTTTCAGGAGTAAGATTATTTGAACGTCCCCATTTAGGGGTTTTCTGGATGAATCGATCCATGTCTAGATCTACCCTCCTAGCCTACGATTTAAAGTCTTTCACAAATTTTTATACTAGATCTATCTACCTGGTGCTACGGAACCTAGCAAGCTAAGTAATCAGACAATCGTGTTTACAACTGATTTACTCTAGATCTAGATCTCTAGAAGTAGAAGATAATTTAGTCTAAACAGAACTAGATCTAGATCTATTGGGGGGTCGGGTCGGTTTGATTTGCTTGCCAGACTGATGGCGCAAAGCGGGAATCGTGGCCCAAATATCGATCGCGCCCGACTCGTTGTCACAAAAACAAACGCGTTGTTTTCAGGTGACGAGTCGGGCGATCATCCCGACCCGACCTGACCCGACCCAACCCGATCCGATCCCATGCATCCGCAATGAGCACCCGTAGTGCAAAGGAAGTGGTAGATCTATTTCAGGTACGAATTGTCCCCCTCGGCATAGTTTTTTTTAGTCGTGGAAGAAAGTTTCGGTTATTTTTAACGAAATTTTATTATTATTTTTCAAACTTTTGCGGAAAATTGGCTAAATTTCGCGAATTCACGAAAAAGGCAAAAATTGCGCAAAAGTTGCGCTGAGGACAAATGTTGCGTGTGCAAGTTGCGGGTTGTGCGCGCTAATTTCTCTGAGGACAGAGTAATCTAGATCTAATATCTTTGTGGCACTTTGTCTTTGGCTTCTGTGCACTTCGGCTTGGACTTTTTGGTTTTGTGATTGTTTTGTAGCTGTTGTCAATACAATAGTCTGTCTTAGACCCCACTGCTTACGATCCTAGCTAGCTTAAGATCCCGCTGTTTTTAATAGAAAACAGAATTTTTACTCCTCAAAAGTCACCCTAAAACGAAACCTTACTCTGAAGACAGGACTTCATTCGGCTAAGACCCTGCATTTTAGACCATAATTATGGATAAAAAAATCCAGTTAAGTGCAGCTGATCAATCAACAGTGAAAATTTGTGATCATTGCATTGCCTGTAGCATCACGTGATATCATTCACTCTCGTGAATGAGTGAATGTGATCATATCTCCTTTGTAAATCTGGATGGGAAGGGACAATGTGTCCTTGACGGGATCATGCGGAGGTGTGAACTCGTTGACGCATTTGTTTTCCCCAAACATTTTACTCACAGTTGAGTCCTCTGCCTGAACTTCCATCACATGTTGGGTGCAGGGTCTATGCAAGGCGGCATCAGACGGGATCACATCAAACTGTGAACTCATTGGTGCTTCTTTTTCTCTTCTGTTGTCTTTCACTTCAACTCACAAATTTTCTGAAATAGACTAAATTTGAATTAGCGCTGTGGGCAAAACTGGAAGAACTGTATTTGCACACATGACAGCCCCCAACTCTAAAGATGCAATAAACTCCCTAAGTAGAAGAGAACAAGTCACGATCTTTCGCCTACGAACACAACACATACCACTAAATTCCTACCTTAATAGGATCCGCAAGGATACCCCACCCGACTGCCCGCTGTGCGACTGCCAGGATGAAACAGTACCACACCACCTCTTTAACTACCCAGCACTTTGTGACCTGCATAGCACCTACCTACCTGCCTCCCCAAACATCGGAAATACTCTATACAGCGACAAAGCACAGCTGATTAAAACCTGCAAATTCTTTGCCATATCGACAGACCAAAGGGCTAGAACCCAAATGGCCGCTGGATCGGAAAAGTAAAGTAAAAGTAAAGAATTAGCGCTGTCACAATATAATGGTTCATTATAACAGAGGCGGGAGAACTTCGTCAGAGACAAGCTGGAAATTTTCTCCTCCCTCAACAAAAAAGGATGTGGTCGGCGTAAACCTTGAGACTTACAATTGGATTATAACTGAAAATGGCATTCTTCATGTCTTTGTTGTCTCGGTTAACCACTCTTTGCTCCCCAAAAGTCATAAAAACCATTCCAAGTGTCATATCATTTCCTTTCGAAGTAAAAGTAGATAATTTTACTGAGTGTGGACCCGCCCATGATTCACCGTGGATTCTCCCCCTAATGAATTTTAAGAGACCCCCCTCATCTAAGATCCCGCATTTTCCTTGCTCCCAAGTGCAGGGATCTTAGGTGGAGAATTATTGTTTAGCAGGTAAGATGTTTATCTTTTAAAGTAGCTGGGTATGAATCCGGTCTGCCTTTAGAGCCCTTTTCTCTCTGTAATTTACATATGGCTATCCCATTGCAAATTCATTAAAGCTCACCTAAGAACCTGGTTTGAGCGAAGAGCAATATTTGCTAGTGCTCTCTCTCTCTTCCTTCTGGCACTGTTATGTCATAAGTGGTCAGCTATGCCGACATCACACAGGAACTCAGTACTCACTCAGGGGTCCTTGAACAGTGCTGGTCATGGGCTGCTGAAATGTCCCAGATGTGTTTTGGCATGATTATTGGCAGGACATTTCAGGAAAACGTGTTCCATAGTCTCGTCCTACTTTTTGCAGGCTCGACAGGACGGATCTGAGTTTGTTTAACCCCACGAAACAGAGGTGAAAATGAGCAGAAACAGAGAAAGGCGACTATCAATCAGAATTTACGTTCTAATAGTCAGGACCTGGAGGAAGACCTTGAGCGTGCTAGGCCAAGAAAGAATGGGCTAACATTGGCCTTAGCGTGCAACACACAGTCCTTTAGTGGAACTGAAGTTGATCGGAGATTACGGACACGTTGACTGTGGTGAATTCAGTATCGTCTGTGAACATTGCAATGCCATAAGATGGAGAGAAGAGAGAAACACATTCTGCTGTCAAAATGGCAAAGTTAGTTAACCTGTACCCCCTGCACCCCTTCAGAAGCTTATAAAGTATTACGATTTAACACAGAGCAGCAGCTCTTTCTTACCGTACTGTAGACCATAAAGAGGTCCTACGGCAATGAATCAGGTACTAACTTTTTATCTTTCGATTTCCTATAACTATTACTATATCACCGTTAGGTGTTTACTTTGACCACAAATTGTCAAGGGGATATCATATCAATCACCTATGCCAACAAATGTATTTTGAATTAAGGAGAATAAGTCATATTTCTCACCTTTTAAGTCAAAATACTCTCCAGACTCTCGTCTCAGCCTTTCTTTTACTTTTATTAAAACTTGACTACTGTAATTGTCGTCTTGCCGATTTCGGTTTGGAAATGATTAAAAGACCGCAGCTGTTCCAAAATAGAGCTGTTCGATTTGTCTAAAGAAAATCCCCAATAGAACTCATCTCACCTTTATTTATAAGGCTACATGTACATTGGCTACCAGTTAAAGTTAGAATTGCTCTTTTGTGTCACAAGTGCACCTATATATACAATATAGGAAAAAGATAGGAACAAATTCTCGGACAGGAGAAAAAGGCTAAAATAATACCTAGACATAGATGGCTGGTGCCTCTGTAAATGAATTATTGATGGTCAGGTTTGATTCCTTTGTGGGCGCATCTTTAATTGAGTATCTTGATCTTTCTACTTGGGCATTGCATCCCGCCCAGACCGGTTTGGCCCTGACAGGAAGGGTTGAAATCCGCCCCCTTAATGATCTTAATTCAGTTGATGGAGGGGTAAAACACTTACATAAAAAAAAACAATTTCAACTATGTTAAACTCAAAACATAGTTTACAGAGAAGGACAAGAATTTCAGAGCTGAAGTAAAGTCATTAGAAAAATGTTGAAAGGGATTTGACAAAGTCTACTCTTGTAGACTGTACATGACCGTTAGACTCTGAATGGGTAAATATTACATCATTTCTCCCGCTGTTTTATGAGCATGGCATGATTACCGCTTTTAAAAATTCTGTACATATATTTAGATATATGTGAAACTAGTATTATTTCCCTTGAGGAAAGTCACTCAACTGTGTCATTATAAGTAATTGATTTCTATTAGACAAGAACAGTGCATTTATTTTCAAATCCTCACTGTAAGCATATTTCTATGTTCAAAGGTTAATTACTTTTTTAGGTGATAAATTAATGTAAATGTATTCATGGACTGGCAGGTTATATATGATAAGTATTTATGGTGAACCTGTTCATAGCAATACAAACAGCTTATGACTGCTGTCTGTTGAAGGAAGTGGGAGTTTTGTTACAGACATTGTATATCTTTTGTAGAGGTACAGAAACATTTTTTTCTCACAACTTAGCAAACGTTTTATGATTGTGTTGACTGAGTGAACATTCTTCCCTTATCCTTTGTCATTGAGGGAGGAGAACATTCTTGTCAATAACTGACTTTTTAAAAACTTAGCTTGTATATATATGACGATTTAAATTTAATTTAAGTTGTTGGTTTTTATGTTTAGATTTACTTCATTTTAAAGTGATGTAAATTTGCTTTGAACAAGTTTTGTTGCATCTCATTTTTTATTGCCAAGTAAATTATTTTTTCTTTTGAGATCAGTTTCCACCTTTTTTCAACAGATTTTCATCAAAACTAGTCATGGAAAGAAGAAACATCTTGTTTAAGTGTTACCTTTTTTGGACTTTCATTGCTCTTTCCTCAACATTTCCAGCCAAGGAAGCAGAGGAAGTAAATAACAGACCTATCATTGGTAAGTGTAGTGTTACAAGCTATTTCTATTATGATAGTGTTTGAATGTTAATAAAGTTATGGTTTGGTTTACTGTTTTTATTCAAACTGATTTGTCACTTTGTATGGTGCCAACTGTGTCTCCTTGCCTAATACTCTGAGGTATTCTGAGGTTTCAAAATATGAGAACAGATTATTAGTGTACTTTTGCACAGAGCTGCAGTGTTGTTACAACAGCTTTATGGAGCTAATGCTGTACAGTAGAACATGACTATAGCGGCACTCGCTATAGCGGGACCATCTCTGCAGCAGGACCTTACCAGAATCCCCTTTTTTTTCCCTATGTAAACTCAATTACTTTTGCTTGGATATAGCGGGGTAAGGAAAGTTCCGAACTTGGATACAGCAGGAAAGGTTGAACAAGCTCTAGCTTGGGGGGGGGGCTCCAAACAGGCAGTCAGCAGTGCGCCGTTGTGATTGGCTAGTCCAGTGATGTGTGAGGTGGGGCAGGCGGTAGGCCTAGAGAGAGATGGTACGGAGAGACGCGCTATGTGAACCACTTCAAAAGTGACATAGATCTATACAGTAGAACGTGGCTATAGCGACACCTGCTGAAGTGGGGCCTTACTAGAATCCTCCTTTTTTCTCTATGTAAACTCAATTATTTGTGCTTGGGTTTAATGGGGCAAGGAAAAGCCCGAACTTGGATACAGCTGGAGGGATCGAGCGAGCTCTAGCTGTGGGGAAAGGGGTTGGGGGATGGGGGAGCTGTAGGCGGGATCCAGACTGGCAGTCAGCGGTGTGGCATTGTGATTGGACAGTCCAGTTATAAGTGAGGTGGGACTGGCGGAAGAGAGAGATGGTGCGGAGAGACGCATTACGTGAGCCACTCCAAAAAGTGATGAGTCGTAGCTTAGACACTCAGTATGAGGGCATATAGGCCATAGCCCTAGGCGTAGGCTATGCTAAAAAATAAAAGAAGAGGAGAACGTGTAGTGTGTTATTCCTGATTCATTAAAGTGCGATCGTTGATGCTCAAGCATATTCACCGCACGCCTCCACTTCACTAGTTCTACTGTAGGCTTACCGGTACGATAGACAGCACAAGCAATAAACGAAGAAAAGATGGCTTCCATCAAAGACTAAAGGAAATGCTTCTCGCTTGAATTAAAGGCCAAGATAATCGAGGTTGACAAGAAAAGGAAGACTAAAGTGCAAATTTTATTGATATGGAAGGGAGGTTATCATGTTGATTTTTATACATTTTTCGCTAGTTCCCCTTTGCATTCCTGTAGCGGGCTTTTTCTTCTGGAACCAAAATTCTCGCTATAGCTGTGTTCTACTGTACTATTCTATGTTTTGCAACATTGAATAGGAGGTAGCACATTCTCTCTTTTTACGTATGCTCAAGATTTGATGTAGCTTTGTAAATGACAAAGTTCAAACTATTTTAGGTGTTGTTCAGTTCTTTGCAGAAACTGAAATGTTTATGCCATGGTGCATTTTTAAAGAAATAAGGGCAAAATTGCCTTCATGGTTGCACAGCTCTCACTGAAAGAAAAACAAACTTTTGTCACCTCGATTCACTGCGTTGTCAGTATGTGCACATGTCAGAAGGAAGTGAGAAAACATTTTATCTTTTGTTCTTATTTATTTCCTTTCTTTTTCTTGTGTTCCTCCCCTGCAAGAACTCCTCAGGTTGTAGGTTTCTCAAGCTCAAGTGCAACTTATCTTGTCATAGGAAATTGTCTCAGTTTTCTAATTGAGGGTTTCCTCCCCCCCCCCCGCTCATTTCAGGGAGCTGTATATGTCATTTATGAATGTAATAAAAATGTGCAGTGATTTGTTTAATATTACTATGGCCTCTCTCTCAAAAGGTCTTCTTGTAAAAGAAGTTGACTACAGTGTTTCCAAGTTAGGCGATGAGTATGTGGAAGCGACTTATGTCAAATTCCTGGAGTTGGCCGGAGCTCGTGTGGTACCTATCAGGTGAGAAGAATGCTTTGTTAACTTTTTGACCTTTCACTTCTATGATGTTATTGTTTTGTGAAATATTAATCAATCTTTATATTATCTCCAATTTCTTTAAAGTTTTGAAAAAAATAACAATCCAATATCTTAGTTATGGTATTTGGGACATAATCTTGTCTGTGTGAAAATTAAGTTTATTTTTTAATCCTTTCTCTTTTGTATATTTTCTGTAAAGGTATATCAGTATCTATTCTTACCTAGAGGTTAGATGCTGGTCATTATAAATTTGACCAAGACACTGAAGCTTGAGTTTTGAATCCGATTTGGGTACACATTTTATTTGACCTTTCCAGTATATGTCTTCTCTGTTATACATTTTTCTTGATCTTTCCAGAATATGTCTTCTCTGTTATACATTTTTCTTGACCTTTCCAGGTTATGTTTTCTCTGTCCACTGCCCTATTGAAGAACCCAAAAGTACTCTGCCTTCAAAATGATCAATTCTATGTCTAATGACATTGAAATGTACTGAAATTGTATCTGTGATATCATCAGTGTGTTGGTTTCCTATTTCTAATCTTTACTCTGATTACACCTACAGGAATAAACAACCTCTTTCCTACTATGACCAAATTTTCAAAAGCGTCAATGGGTAAGTCAAGTGAATTTTTTTCTTTCTTTTTGTCATGTTTTTTTCTTTTGTTGGATATTTTTGTATTGGGAACCCTTTTGTATTAGATATGAGCCGTCTTCAAAAGGTTGACTTAAAAATCTTGTTGCAACAACCTAAATTTTTAGTCACTTTTCTGCATAACTAACTACAGTGGAGTCCACTTTTAACAAGTTCTGAAATAACGAGAATTCTGTTATAAAGACACTTTTCTGAAACCCCATTTTTTTCCCTTCTCTATCTTTGTAAATAAAATACTGCTATAGTGCAATCAGATAAACGTGCGAGTCGGTTATAGCAGAATATTGCTGCTGCTGTGCACAGCGCATAGACCGTTTATACATAATGTAAAACCTCGCCAGTTGAGAAACTTGTTGGTGGTCAAGCGAAACAAAAAATGGAGGACCCATGTGTACCAACAATGAAGGCCGGAGCGAATGAGCGGGGAGGGTGTGGCATGCACAGACAAGCCGTTGTGAAGCAGAACACATTGCGTGATAGGCCAGCCCAGTCTAGATTGTCTAGGCCTACCATGCCTCTAATGCAGTTTTTGGGACACCTGAATAGACATAAGGATCTTGAACATTTAGCTCTCGCTGGCAAAATTGAGGGCAAGTGAGGCATGGGTAGGCCCAGAACAACATACTTAGGGTACTTAAACAAATGGGTAACATGGAAAGATCAGGGAAACGTAGCTTTTTTTAGAGCATCCGAGCAAAGGAATGAATGGAGAACCATGATCGTCGATGTCTGTCGCAGATCTGGCACTGGATGATGATGATGACCATGCCTCTCACTTCTCCGATGGGAGGATGGAGAGGTCACAGTGATGTTATAGATGGACCGAATGTGTGACATGCGCAAAGAGACACGAGAATGCACTTCAGGGTGTGGTGGGGGTGGGGGACAACACAGCGGGCGAGTTAGCCTAGAGGACTTTTTTTCTGATCGCCAACGCCGAGCTGTCAACATCGCTAACACTAGAGCCAGAAACTTGCTTCGATTTTTGATCAAATAAGACCAAGAGGTCATGTTGGGCAAAATCATCATCAGGGGCGATAACAACAACAACAACAAAAACACCCAGACCAGCAAATTTATAGATTAGGCCTACTTTATTATTTCCTTTAAATCTATTACTGGATCCCTAATAATGAGAATCCTGTTACAACGGACATTTCGTACCAGTCCCCTCCCTCTCGTTATAACAGGATTCCACTGTATAATGATATTTATAGTGAGTACTTTTTCTATTTGTCAAATTGAAAAGATAATCAGATGCATTGCTTACACTACAAAGCTGATGAATGTTTCATTCATCTTTGGGTTTTTTTTACATTTCTTACTTTAAAAGCTATCTATAGTGAGATTTCTTTCTGTCTTTTCAAATGTTGAGATGATAATCAAATACAGTCAAACCAACCTGGACAGCCACCTGTACAAATGGTCACTTTCCATGTCTCCCTTTGCATTTTTTCTATTAAATCGATAACCTGACTAATGTTATCACGGACAATATATTACAGTTTTAGTAGTTTTGATAAGAGTTTTATGGTGCTCACAACTGCATAAGATCATATGAGTAAGCAGGGCTCAAGTTGGGCATTTTCACATCAATTCAGAGCAGGGCTTGGTTTTACTGTATGGTTGATGTTTAAAAACTTGTGGAAAAAGTCAATGGTAAAAACAGTCATTTACATTTTTAAAATACTGCTATCTACATTTTGGAGTAAAAATCAGCATTTAAGATATTTTATTTTGGGACCCTGTAAAGTCTGGGTGTTCTATTAGGATGTGCCTGATAGTAAGGTTGGCATTGCATCCGACACAAAATGGTTTTTCATCCCATTGCAGGAGGTATCTATGTGTCATGGAAGAATGTCCAATATGTTTTCCTGGATGCCAACATGGCTAGGTAGCCATGCAATTACAATATGCTTTCCCTGGTTAGTCAATTAGTGAACCCTCTACAGTAATTAACTATACAATAATATTTGATCATCCAACAGCCCCAAAAACCTGTCCAAGAGAGCTACACAAATCTTTCATCACCCGACTTGTTGTCATAAATAATTGTTTTATCGGCGCCTGATGCTCTAGACGAACTGTCACAATCCATTCTCCTATCGTTTTTGTTGTTGCCCTGTGAAATGGAGCCAATTGTCAACCAGGACATAAGGAAGACTAGGGTTCTGGTCCCTCTCATTAATTACTCAAATTAACCAATAGTTGACATTTTCATTGGCCTTATGGCAGTCTTAAGCTTGTGACTGCCTCCAGTTGGGAACTCAAAAGGGAATGATTCAAAAGGGAATGATTTGTTTTATTCATTTTGATCAATGTCTAAGACGGCCTCCAGAGAATTTTCTCCTTGACAATGGGTGGTTGTCTTGTACAATTTTATGTGTACAAAACTTGCACTGGAAAGTTGATACATTTTTTTTCTCCTCTTTATCTCCCCAACTCATTTTGCCTAATTTGTCTCAGATGGCCCACAGGTAACTTGAATGTTGCTTTTTCAGTAAAAACGCTGAGTTAGCAAGTGTGATTCATGTTGGAAAACTTTAACTACTTTGAAACACTAGAGGTTTTGTTCTTATTATTAACATAGGGAGGTTCTAAATGTTCTGTAAAAAAAACAGCACACAATGATTAACTCGGTTCAAGAGACAACCAGATATTTTGACCCTCTAGGCTTAATGGAAGCATATGAAAATTATTACTGAAATATTTTCTATTTGCTACTGACACATTTTTCCATTTAACTGTAAAACCTTTTGGATATCTGACGGGTTTAGTTAAAGACATCCACTTTATGATGCATCAGGAAAAAAACAAACAAAAAACACAGCATTGTTCATGGTCATTGACATTTGTTATATGATAATAAGGATTTCAGCCAATATTCTATTAAATGGTATATATTTTGTTATGACTTATCTGAAAAGGCCTGATAGTGATTTTATACAGATTCTCCTTTTGTGTTGTTTGCCCCAGTGGAGGAAATGAGGCACTTCAGTCATTTTCACCTCATAGGGATGGCCTTTTTACAAAATGTATTTGGCATTTGTTAATAGAATAGACAATGATTAATATTTACTAGCACTGGTACATTTCAAAATAGTTGCTGACGAAAGTTGAGTGATATGTTGGGTTTTTTGGGGGGTTTTTTTGGTAAGTGTTTTACGGCGCTCGCAACTGCATAAGGTCATATGAGCGCGTGGGATACACCTAATACTTTTAGTTGGTAGGAAATTTTGAATTTTGCCCGCATGGCGGCCGAAGCCTACTCTTATTAATTTTAGACCACCTAGGGATCTTTAACATGCGCAACTTGCACACGGGCCCTCCGAGATTTTTCGCCCTCGTCCGAGAAGGCTAGGTGTAGATCTTTCCTACCAGAAGATCAGGGGTGTGGCAGAAAGACAGCTGTAAGAAGGAGCCAAGGAGTAGCAGTAGAAAGGCTGCAGAAAGAGTTAGGAGCCCAGAGGAGGGGGCAAAGGAGGTGAGGGATGGGGGCAGAAAGAGGAGACGAAAGCAGACGACAGAATACTGCTAGAGAGCAGGAAAGGACGTGAAAGGAGACAATTTTAGAGAAGAAAATTTTTCGGTCGCTACCCGGATTCGAACCCGGCCCCTTTGAATGAGAGGCCAACACCTTAACCTTTAGGCCACGAGAGCCCCCCTATGATATCTTTGCATTTTGAAAGTCTGATTTTTTTTCCCACAGTGACATTTCAGATTTGAAAAATAACTCACTCAGATTGTTTTAGGTTTCTAAAACTAAAAGAGTATGTGAATCAGAAAAAGTCCTCATAGTATGGTGTAATGAACATGTTGTGCAAATTAATGTAAACTGGTTTTGCCTGGTCAGGACTGATGTTCAGATATGTCTAGACTCGTAAAAGTCTATGAAACAGTAATGATGTATGTTTACATGGTGTTTTGGAGGTTCTGCGTCCCCTTTACTGCATGGTGCAAGAGGTTAATGATTTTTTAATACATTGCTTCATTTTGTTTTTGAAAATTCAAAGATCTGTCTCAGTTCTACTGGCACTAAGTATTAGAAGAGTTAAGACTGTTCTGAGTGAGCAGATACTTTCTTACTGATTATGATGATGATGGATCAATGGCTCAAAATGTACTGAGTACAGGTTTATGTGGAAAGGACTATTGCTTACATGTTGTAAAGGTCAGGTCATGAATGATCCTCCTCATGTTTAAGATCATGGTGCAGGTGGTTGGCAGATGCTCTAATGGGGTTTTCTTATTCTTTGTTTTAGCTTTGTTTTTCACTATAACTTGTTTCCGTTTCCCTCATAATCTTTTTGTGTTAATATTACCATAAATCCAGAGCCCTTGCTCCGAGAAATTTGTGGAAAGAAAACTATTTTGAAGTACAGTTATGCTGTCCAAATAAGCCATGTTTTTTCCTGACTTAAGTTATGTTTACTTTTGATAACAGGACAAACTTAGTGCTAACTCTTGTCTTTTCCCATTTGTACAGATTTTTTAATATAAAGTTTAGACAAAACCATACAGGTGAAGAAGTGAAATGGGTGTTTCCATTATCTGTGACTCTGGAGCAATTTTTTTTTTTCCCCAAGGGTGCTTCTTCCTGGTGGTGCTACTGATTTGAAGAATAGCTCCTATGCGGAGATTGGGGCATATTTGTATGACAAAGCCATTGAGGTAAGTTTAAGCTGAGTAACCATGTTTGCTTTTCTGTATCGTAGACAATTCTGTTTCAAGGGAAATACAGAATACTAAATCCCCCCCCCCCCCTGCTCCTCCAACCACCACCACTACCTAGCCCCCATTGGATAGCTGACTTTCTTATAGTGTCACGTTATTGATTTCCCTTATACTGACCATTTCATTTTCTTTTTGTGGTCTTATTATTGTTTCTTGGGTCAGTACTGTGAGTGCTCATACATATTTGATTTGTCAAATTAATTACTTTGGTCATCAAGTAAAAGGTGAACTGGTGAAGAAGGCTGTGCAGAACAAAGATTAAAGGATACTGAGCTCTATTGTAGGGGGCATAATTACAGTAGCCTATATTAGCATTGGTAAACTTTGAGCTCATCATTACCACTTGTGCTTAGTGCGCAGATAAGATATGCCTTGGTGTTGTTTTCAGAGAGATGAAGACAATTTGTGTTATGAGAAACTGCAACCTCTGTAGCTGAATCAATAAAAGATATGCATTATGTTTTATGTTTTCCCTCACTTATTTTGATAATAGACAAGTTTGTTTTTTTGTCCAAAGGTTACGACCTTCAGTAACTGTATTTCAAAGAAATCTGAAAATCAATAGTTTGATGAGTTTGGGAAAGATATCCGAGCTGTCCTTACAAAATTATAGCTTATGGGAATTTGATAGTAGGCTACAAGGAGATGGGCGGTGAGCCTCATGGGGGGTGGCAGCATTGTAAGAGGCAACTGACTGCTGGAAGTGGATTGGATCCTATCGACTGCTCAGTGTAAGACTCTGTCATACGTGATTTTTCAAAATGGCCTAATATGTTGGAGTTTTACACTATATAACTTAATATAAGCAGTCGATATCTGGATTTATTTTGTATTTTTCTTGTCAGTTTTTTTTTTTTTAGTTGTGGTTTTGGAATGGCATTTTCCCACAAGTAAACTCTTACATCCAGGTTCTCTCCTGGTGGCTATGATGAATGGCGACAAAGGGATGGAAAAAAAATCTTGGCTGAATGAAAATCAATATTACCTTGACTTTTCTGTAATCATTTCATTATCCTGGTCTCATTATGATTACCTTTTTTTCCCATCTGTGTACCTGCTCCCCCACCCCTCTTTTTAGATATTTGATGGTGGGTACAGCTGACAGTAGAGGGGTCCTATAGCTATCAGTCTTTTGTCACTAACTCTTGTAACGTATGCAGCTAGTTGTTCAGTCCTCGGAGAATGGTGCAATGTGTATGTACCTGCTGTCATGATGACATAAATGTAATTTATTATTTTTAATGTTATTACTATTATTATTATTATT